TTTGCTGGCCGCATATATGTCTTCTTTTGAAAAGTATGGTTTCTTTCTTATTATAGTTCTGTCAAGCTCTTAGGTCAGATGTTACTGTTGTTAGTGTGACCCTCTTCAGTAGGCCTTCTCTTCATCTTTTCTGTTCGTTGTTTCTGATTTTATTTTGACTGAGAAAGTCTATGTTTGAAATAGAAATTTCTGAGTGAGGACCCCAGCATGCTCCTGTGGAATGATAAAGAGCTAGAACTCTGTAAAGCTGTTGCAATGGTCTTTTAAAGTTTTAGATTTACTTCCTATCAGTTCAGATCAACATAAGGTTGCTGGAATCCTGACCTGATAAGCATCTGTCATAAAACATTAAACAAGAAACGTTTCAAATATTCCTTGAATTGCCTTTAATCTTCAGCTGCAATCTTAGTCCTTTCTCATTTTGTATTTGATTGTAAACTGCTTTCGTTCCAAAGTGAATTGACTACTCAAAAACCCTGGTTCCTAAAGAAAATTTTCTGAAGTAATTGGTTACATTCCAAGGAGGAAGGGTATGTCTGTGTTTATCTATTTGTATATGTAGATAGATAAATCCATATGCATATATAGAGATAACAGTAGTTTGCCCTCCAAAGCCATAGGTTTTGCATCTATGGATTCAACCACAGGTCAAAAATAGATTCACAAAAATAAATTAATACCACAACAATTAAAAATAATATAAATTAAAAAGCAATACAGTATAGCAACTAGGTGACCCTTGAACAATGCAGGGGTTTAGGGTTGCCAACCCCCACACAGTCAAAAATTCTATGTGAATTTTTGACTCCCAAAAAACTAATAGCTTATTGTTGACCGGAAGCATATGCATGACATAAACAGACAATCAATACATATTTTTGTATGTATTCTATATACTGCATTGTTATAGTAAAGTAAGCTGGAAAAAAGACTATTAAGAAAATCATTACAAAGACAAAATACATTTACTGTTCATTAAGTGGAACTGGGTCACCATAAAGACCTTTATTCTCATTTTCTTTGCTTCGAGTAGCTTGAGGAGGAGGAATTGGGGGTTGGTCCTGCTGTCTCAAAGGAGGAAGAGGTGGAAGGAGGAACAGGAAAGGCAGGCACACTCTATGTAACTTTTATTGGAAAAAAAATGTGCTTATAATTGGACCTCTACAGTTCAAACCCATTTCATTAAAGGGTCAACTGTATTTATATAGCATTTACGTTTTATTAGGTATTAAAAGTAATCTATAGATAATTTAAAGTGTACACAAAGATGTGTGTATGTTATATGCAACTCGTAGGCCATTTTATATAAGAGATTTGGGTATCCAAGAGAGGGTCAGGAACCAATCCCCCTCACACACAGAGGGATGACTATATATATAGTTGACTGTATTATATTTGGTTCCAGAGATATATATATATATATATATATATATATATATATATATATATATGTTAGATGCATCACTCATATAGAGACCACCAGGCAGGCTCTGTGTGAGCAACATGGTTGTTTATTCACCCAGGTGCGGGTAGGCTGGGTCCAAAAAGAGAGTCAGCAGAGGGCAGTGGCATAGGAGTTTTATAGGTTGGGGCAAGTGGTCAGTTAAAGGTGTAATCTATTTTAGGGAGGGGGAGGGTGTCACGGGATGCATGGTCACACGGGTAGGGGTTATTTATTACAAACAGGCATGGTCATAAGGGTAGAGGTTATTGGTTGCAAGCAGAGGAAAGGATGCAGTAAATTACATAGTTACAGGGGTGGGGGGTCCTGAGGAACCTAATGTCCAGGGGAAGCTTCACAAGGCTGAGCAGGAACAATGGTTGCAGGTTGCAGGGGGAGAGCAATTAGTTGAGGCAGGAACAAGTTGTTTCACTTCTTTCTGTGGCCACCTGATTACTTGTGGTTACTTCAGGTTTCCTGGCGCTTGGGGACCATCCAGAGGTGTACCTGTGGGTCACCAAGGCTATAATGGCCAGGCTTGACATTGGAGGCCTGACGTTATACATATATATGTGTGTATATATCCAATTAGTACTTGAATATATATATTCCAGTGGTCAGTTAAAGGTGGTAATCTATTTTGGGGAGGGTGTCACAGGATGCATGGTCACAAAGGTGGGGCGCCATATATATAGCCAAGTACTAATTTTTGCCTGATCGTATAAATTTTGCATTGAAACAAAGCTGTTTGTTGTTCTGACAGTTTATCAGTATAACTATAATTAGCATCTTCAAAACCTTGACAAAAACCTTTTTTCGAGATAATGTCAGATAACCTCTATAGGAGTTTGAGAGTTTCATTCTTAAAATGTTACTAATCCAGTTCTCTTGGCCTATTTGTACATGCTAAGAACTGATAATGTACAGCAGAATTAGGCTATCTGAAGTAAGAAGTAGATAAAGGTGACAAGCAGGTAAAGATATGTTTTTGTTGTTTCATGTGGTTATATCTTATCTTTCTAGCTAGATTGTAAATTATTTATGGGTGGAGATAGCATGACTTGAAGTTTTTTTAAACATTCTCCATGTTTGACCTCATACTATCAAATGATACTTGATTATCTAGAAGTGTGGCATTTGAAGAGCAATAAATTACTTGCAGTGCCTTAAAAACATTTACTCCCTAGAATGACAAACAACCTGTTTGTTTGGGGCCACTTTAACTTGGCCGTAGCAACTTGTTCCTCCTCCAGAAAACTTTAGAAAAATAAGCAGAATCATGCTCTAAATATAGGCAAATATTGGAATAGTTCTGATTCTAATCAGATGTCAGAAGTAAAGGGACTTCTATGTTGAAATTACTTGAAAATAAGTATGTTACATAGTATGCTAGTAGACAGGCAGCCTATTCATGATGGAAATGCTTTGTTGATCTATTCACAGTAGTCTGTCTTTAATGAATACTACTATAATTATTTTATCGACTTCCTTATTATATATGTTTAGTTTCCATTTGGATCAATTTTTCTTTTTTTTTTTTGAGACAGAGCCTCACTGTCGCCCAGGCTGGAGTGCAGTGGCAAAATCTAAGCTCACTGCAACCTCTGCCTCCTGGGTTCAAGTGATTCTTCTGCCTCAGCCTCCTGAGTAGCTAGAATTACAGGTGCCCACAAACCATGCCTGGCTAATTTTTGTGTTTTTAGTAGAGACGGGGTTTTGCAGTGTTGGCCAGGCTAGTCTCAAACTCCTGACCTCAGGTGATCTGCCTGCCTCAGCCTCCCAAAGTGTTGAGATTACAGGCGTGAGCAACTGCACCCTGCCTGTACCAACTAAAGAAACATTTGTTGATTGCCTCTTTTGGGGCCTGTGCAAGGCCTTGGGATCGCAAAGACTAATAAGCCTTTTTCCTGCTCTCAACATAGTCTGGTAAAAAGGGACAAATAAGTAAAACAGTCAGTGCATTGAAGCCTTGTGGTTGCTGTGACAAGAGTTATGCAATATGTAAAGAACTGAGGAAGAAGAGGGCAGTTGTGGTCTTAGAAGTCAAGGGGATAGTGTGTTATGAATAAGAACATCATTACAGCTCCAGGTACCACAATTGTAATTTCATAAATCAGTTGACACTTGAGCTGAATTTTAGAAACTTAGTGTCTAACAGTCCAATAGAGAATTAGGGCACTATCCCAAGCAGAAGCAGCAATGAGAAAAGTCACAGGGACAAGAAAGAAACCATGATGTATTCGCGTATAGAACATTGTTTGGCATAGCTATACAGTAGAAAGGCCTATGACTGGAGAGAGAGGTAGGTAGCGAACAGATTATGCCTTTATGTGTCATGTTATTTATCTTTAGTCTATTTTGTGAGAATGCCATTAAAGGCTTTTAGGTATATGAACAATATGATCAGACTGGCATTTGAGAAAGAACACCCAAACGTGGATTCTGAATTAGAGTTGTGTGAGAAGTTGGAAAAAGAAAAAAAAAAAAAATGAAACCATTGCATCAAACTGTTTATACCTGAACTAAAAAAGTAATGGCAGCAATGAAGAACCAAGGACAGATGGGAAATGTTAATAGTGTGGTCTAAAGACTAAGTAAACAATAACTGCATAGTGTCTGCACATCCTCTAGAAATCTTCTGGAATTTGGTAGTATTCTTCACCTTGTTAGAGAATATTGAAAAAGCAAGTTTATAGGAAAAGATTACAGATTCATTTTAGGAGAGGTTGAATCCAAGGTGTTCATGGAACTTCAAGTGTAGGTAAGTCTCAAAGCCAGTCCTGAGAATGAGGACAATAAAGGTTGGACGTGTATGAAATGATTAGGAAGAGCATGTTGAGCAAGTTGTGAAGAGTGTTAAAGACCTGACTCCTGGAGAATACAACTTATAAAGGACAGCCAGAGAAAGTAAAGGGAGGCAGAAGGAGTTGGTGCAGGAGGGAGAGGCAGGCTAGACAGGAGAATGTGGAGACAATACTGTCTGAGAGTTAGGACTATAATGGGTTAGCATATATGTTGACTAGACTTTGCATTTAGAGGACATTAGTGACTTATTTCAAAGTATTTTCAGAACAGTATAGGTCAGGTTACAAATTGTCTGCCATGTCTGATTTTTCCTTGTGCTTTAGAAAGAAAACCCCAGGTTGTAGTTGTGCACATGGCAGCCTAGGTAGTCCTGTGTCTCAGCTTTCCTTGCAGTAATTATGGCTGTGTGTCTAAGTTTGGGCTGATGGGATTTGCACAAATGATGTGTGTCACTTCCAAATCATTACAAAATATGAAGCCACTTGCTGTGGACTTTTCTCCTTATCTAGAAGGCTTGAAGCAGATGTAGGACAAGCCAGCTCCAGCCATGTGGATGAGGAGTGTACCCATGGGAGATCAACAGAATGGAAGGAACCTTTGTCCCTAGATAATCTTAAAGGACAGAGCCACCCTGCCAGCCTCTGTACACTTGGCACTAAGACTGTTTTATGAGCAAGAAATAAATTAGTTCAATTCATTGTGTTTTAGGTTCTGTCTGTGGTTGGTAGCAATTTACTGTAAGAGTAACAGGTTCGCTCTTTGAAGAAGACGCGGTCGTAGCTGTTGTGGATCCTTAGTCCGCACGCTCCTGCTCCTGACTCACCGCTGTTCGCTCTTGCCGAGGAACAAGTCAGTCAGGAAGCCGCGCAGCAGCCATGGCTTTTAAGGATACCGGAAAAACACCCGTGGAGCCGGAGGTGGCAATTCACCGAATTCGAATCACTCTAACAAGCCGCAATGTAAAATCGCTGGAGAAGGTGTGTGCTGACTTGATCAGAGGAGCAAAGGAAAAGAATCTGAAAGTGAAAGGACCAGTTCGAATGCCTACGAAGACTTTGAGAATCACTACAAGAAAAACACCTTGTGGTGAAGGTTCTAAAACATGGGATCGTTTCCAGATGAGAATCCACAAGC